CCATGAGAAATATTGTTCTCATTAGTGCTATGCTCTATCTAAGCACCTGGTGTCACTATAAGACAGAAAATAACTTTGTGACTAAAGTCAAGTTTATACTGTTGTTTCTTATGTGGCAATGGAGTTCATATACTATTAAACTTCTATGTGGGACAAAATCACTGCCTACGAGAAGGTATGAGTATCCCTTGAAGGATAAAATAATTACTGCGCCAAGCATGGGCAGATCAGATCTTGCAGCCTGGAAATACTCATTTAATACATTATACTATATCCACTGTATTAAATAATAGACAAATAATTAGTTTCCAGAATGTTTAAGTCTGTTATTTTTGTGGGAAAAAAAGATGAAATTTCAGTGATATACAACAATAAAACTATATTTCTCATACATCTGAATATTGGCTGAGATGACTGCTGATCTTAGCTAGGTTTGTTTATGTAACTGCAGGTTGGCTGTGGATCGGCTAATCCAAGCCAGGCTTGGCTGTGAGGTTCTGCTTCAAACTGCAAGTTGGTCTGGCAGCTCTGCTCTACTTTTCTCTTATCATCCTTGGACCAGGGAGCTAACCAGTCACATTCTCATGGTGTGGCAGAGTAAGAAGATGGCAAGCCCCACTAGACAAGCAAACTTTAAGCTTCTGCTTTCACCAAACCTACTAATTACTCCTCCCACTCACCCATGGAAGTAGTGCACATGACAAAGCCAATAGTTAATGTATGGGGAAGTATACTCTGGGAGAGTGAGTGTTATTCAACAGTAATCTAATATACAGAATGTTCTGTGTCAACTGAGGAACACCAAACGACAGTTTGAAAAGTTTCCATCGGAGAATCAGAGGTCCTTAATTTATACCATTTTCTTGCTGTTCAATACCTGGAAAAGCTTATTTCAATGTCTGGAGGAGTGAGATACCTGAGAACTGTCAAGAGACCCACTTAAACTATCATCCACCATGTGTGTCTGTAAAGTAAGCATTAACACAGCAGCATGGGCTGTGGGATGCTTTTTCAGAGCCTATCAAACTTTGATTACTTTCTTGAACTTGAAGGGATTCATATCACTGTCAAAACAAAAGGTTCACAAAATTAAAAAAGAACACAATATAATGTGGGCAGCAAGCCACCCAGGTGCCAAGGCAAGAGACCGAGGGCACAAGCTCTTCCAGTATAATAAAGAAAATATATAAAATAGGAATAGTTATACTAGAAATCGATTATAGATATGATGATATATAAATATTATTGATCATCAGTTTGTAGCATTATTCTTTATTCCATTATTGTAATAATCCTTGCTCTACAATTATAACCTAGGAAAAACCAGGCCATACAGAGATATGAGCTGAAGGGGCACGGGGAGAAGTGACCAGAAGACAAGTGTGAGCCCTCTATCACGCCTGGACAGGGCCAGTAGAGGGTTCCTTGGTCTAGTGGTAACGCCAGTGCCTGGCAAGGCAACCCCTACTTAGCTGACCTTGGTCTAGCAGTAGCATCAGTGCCTAGGGAAGGCATCATTACTTAGCAGACCTGGAAAGGGAGTCTCCCTTTCCCTGGGGGAGTTGGAGAGGACTCTGTTCCACACCTCTTGTGGAAGGCCTGACATCAGTCAGGTCCCCCTACAGCCATTGGGAGGCCAAACCATCTCCCTGTGATGCTGTGCTTCAGTGGTCACACTCCTGTTTCACTTTCATGTTCCACCCTGTACACCTGGCTCTGCCTTCTAGATAGCAGTAGCAGAATTAGTGAAAGTGCTAAAAGTCTTTGAAATGCATAGAAGAAATAATGGCATAAGCTGTCCTCTCTCTCTCTCTGCCTTGGCTGCCAAACAGGGAAGGGCCCCCTGTCTGGTGGACACGTGACTCACGTGACCTTATCAATCACTGGAGATGACTTACACTCCTTACCCTGCCCCTTTTGACTTGTATCCAATAAGTAACACTGCAGTCAGGCATTCGGGGCCACTACTGGTCTCCGCGTCTTGGTGGTAGTGGTCCCCCGGGGCCCAGCTGTCTTTTCTTCTATCTCTTTGTCTTGTGTCTTTATTTCTATGATCCCTTGTCTCCACACATGAGAAAAACCCATAGACCCTGTAGGGTTGGCCCTACAGTATGAGTCGATCACGTAAAGGTATGTATGGGAGCTTCTTTTTATAGAACTGATGGAAGAAGTGTTCATTATGAGAGTTTGAAAGACAAAAGCAGAGATAAGTGAAATTAATAATTTTATGATATGTTGTAAGAAGACTGGATTTTCTTTATTTTTCTTTAAATATTCAGTATTGAGCTGTCATGAGTTGAAACGCAAGCTAGAACTCACAACTCCAGCAATTGGTGTTCCTTGAGTAAGGCTGTGAAACAAATGACTCCCAAATTTCAGTGGTTCACTACAAAAACAACAAAATCATCCTTGTTCATATTATATGAACACTGTGGGTCAGTTATGACTATGCTACAGGCAGTGAGTCAGATTCACATCTGCTCCACGGATCTTCATCATGAGTCTAGGCTGTGATATGCTTATTCTTCTGGCAGAGGGAAAGAATGAAAGATAAACCAAGCCTTCTAACCATGTTTTACAGTTTAAGGTTTTATTAGCAGCTCAAACACAAAGTTTATTTCTCATTTACACTTCTTATTCATTGTGGGTGGACTTTGGCTTTGTCACAACCTCTAACTGGAACTTTGCTGGGTTTTGCAGCTGAGGGGAAAGAAAGGAGGAAAGTTAATGCAAACTTTTAATTTGCAAAGCAATTTAAAAGTTTGCAAAAATTTGCAAAGCAATGCAAAGCAATGGCCTCTAGCTCCATCCATGTTCCCACAAAGGACACGATCTTATTCTTTTTGATGGCTGCATATATTCCATGGTGCATATGTATCACACACATCTGCAATAACTCATGTCTATATGGACCAGGCAACTTCTTGTCTTTCTGTTCCTTTCCATTCAATCTTTGCACCAATATCATAGTGTCCTTTTTAACTTTTATTTTAGGTTAGAGGTACATGTGCAGGTGTGTTATATAAACTTGTGTCACGGGAGTTTGTTGTACAAGTTCTTTGATCACCCAGGTACTAGCCATAGTACCTGATAGCTATTTTTCCTGATCCTCTCCCTCCTACCTTAAATAGGCCCCAGTGTCTGTTGTTCCTCTTTGTGTCCATGTGTTCTCATTATTTAGTTCCCACTTATAAGTGAGAACATGTGGTATTTTATTTTTCTATTCCCCTTTTAGTATGCAAAGAATAATTGCCTCTAGCTCCATCCATGTTTCTGCAAAGGACATGATCTCATTCTTTTTGACGGCTGCATAGTATTCCATGATGCATATGTATCACATTTTCTTTATCCAGTCAACTGTTGATATGCATTTAGGTTGATTCTGTGTCTTTGCTATTGTGAATAGTGCTGCAGTGAACATACACATACATGTTATCTTTATGGTAGAACAACTTAGGTTCCTTTGGGTACATACCTGGTAAAGGATCACTCGGTCAAATGGTATTTCTGTTTTTAGGTCTTTGAGGAATTGCCCACTGCTTTCCATAATGGGTGAAATAATTTACACTCCTACAAGCAGTATATAAGTGTTTCCTTTTCTCCACAACCTCACCAGCATCTGTTATTTTTTTATACACTTTCTGATTCTTGAAGTGCATTTCAGGGCTACTCAAATTTCATTGGCCAAATCAAGTTACACGGCAAAGTTTAAAATTGGTGGAGTGAAGGAAATATCCTACCCCTGATAGGACAGGAGACTAAATATCAGTGGACAATAATACGGTCTACCACAACTACAATCATGTGTAACTAGTCATGCATTGCTTAATGATGGGGATACATTCTGAGAAATGTGTCCTTAGGTGATTTTATCAACCTGTGAACATCATAGAGTGTATTTACACAAACTAGATGGTATCGCCTACTATATACCTAAGCTATATGGTATAGCCTGTTGTTCCTAGGCTACAAACCCAATATTGTAGGCAATTGTAACACAATAAGTATTTGTGTATTTAAACAGAAAAATAGCTAATGGATACTAGGCTTAATACTTGGGTGATGAAATAATCTGTACAACAAAACCCCCACAACATGGGTTTACCTAGATAACAAACCTGTACATGTAACTTAAAAGTTTTTAAAAATACAGTATATATATGGTACTATAATATTATGCAATCACCATCATATAGGTGACCCATCACTGACCAAAACTTCATTATGCAGTGTGTGACTGTATTTTATTTTCTTATTTTCAGAAGTCTCAGCTTCAAGAGGGAATGGTGTTATTTCTGTTTTCATGGTCCATAGTTCAAAGATGGTATTCAGCTCTTCTATCCATTCATTTAATAAATATTACTAAGTATTTTGGAAGCAAAGGACATGCATGTGAAAAGCTAGATACAGGATAATATAAATTGATAAAAAGGAACATCAGAAGACTCTTTTGATAAGTGTTCACTAAAAGAATTGGCCATGTCTATCAGGAAGGAAGTAAAAAAGGAATTGACTTAATGGAAGAAATATATCTACTTATAAATGGAGCTAACTGTAGAAATAAAATTGGGAAATAGTAGGCTATAAAAAGAGTGGCAAAGGGTGGAGGGTACTTGTCAGAAAAGACATAGGGGTAATTTTAGTACTAAAAGGAATAATGGTTTTGGGGTCACAAAGTTTGTGGTTCATTTCCTCACTCATACCTGGATAAAGAAGTCACCTGTTTGGGTGACTCAGCTGTTTGGGCCAATCTCAGCCAATATTCCTACTGTCTTTCACCTAGATTACAATATCACTTTGAGAGGTCTGTCTTCCTTAGCCATGTGATGAGTCTATGACAATGGGAAGGTCAAACCTCTACTATCAGACCAGACTATAGGTGCACTCCTGGTTTGACCTGACTCATAGATCTGTGAGGAATGAAACCTCATTTGCCTTGTCATACTAGAGAATTGTCAAAGACATTCAGCAATTTTCCTATTTAGATTTTTCCTCTCAACCCCAATCCAGCATTCTCATTACTTGACCCAGGGGCTAAAAAAAGAGAACTATCCATCTACATGTTCTTTCTCTGGAATAGACTGAGCATATAATCACGAATCTGCTTGGTCTTGACTCCATAGATGATAGGATTGATCATGGGTGGGAAAAGGAGATAGAAAATAGCAAGGAGTATGTGGACGTGAGGGGCAGCACGGCGGGCTACACGGTGCATAACTGAAGAGATGACTACCGGAGTGTAGGTGGACAGGATGGCACCTATGTGAGACACGCATGTCCCAAATGCCTTGTAGCGGGACTCCTGAGAGGCAAGCTGGAGAACTGCCTGAAGGATGAAGACATAAGACAGGATAACAAAGAGCAGGTCCAACACCACAATAAACATGGCCACAGCAATGCCATAGATACTGTTGAAGCTGGTGTCCCCACATGCCAGCCTCACCACAGCCATGTGTTCACAGTAGCAATGGGCAATCACTGGGCCTCGGCAGTAGTGGAAGTGTCTCAGCAGGAAGGGGAGTGGAGTCATTAGTGTCACAGCCCGGACCACGGCAGCCATGCCAATCTTGGTGATGAGGGACCCAGTCAGGACGGTGGTATAGTGCAGTGGCTTGCAGATGGCCACATAGCGGTCAAAGGCCATGGCCAGCAGCACTGCTGACTCCATGATGGAGAAGGAGTGAAGGAAGAACATCTGGACCAGACAGGCAAAGAAGCTGATCTCCCGATCCCTGAACCAGAATATGGCAAGCGTTTTGGGCAGCGCTGTAGAAGAAAGAACCAAGTCAATGGTTGCCAACATGGCCAGAAAGAGATACATGGGCTCATGGAGGGCTGCATCAGCCCGGATAATGAAGAGAAGGGTACAGTTTCCCAGCAGGGCCAGAGTATAAGCAAAGCAGAAGGGGATGGAGATCCAGACATGCAGGTGTTCCAAACCAGGAATTCCTACCAACAAAAAGGTAGCTGGATGTGTTGAGGTGATATTAGAGGGAAGCATGGCTCCCAGAAAATCTCCTTGTCAATTTTTACAGGGCTTCTTCACCTTCTATATATACTTTCTATAATATATATGATTAGAGTTCAACCTATTATATTCCACCTGCAAAGATTACCTCTTGTTTCCACTGCTAGACTTCAAATAAAATAACCTAGCAGCCTTCATAGACATGGAGAAGCATAATCCATATTTTCTACCCTCAAAGAAATTTGAATCTCATTGAGTAGATAGAATATTAAATATCCATAGAATTGATATCCCAAGACAACTTTCATAAAGGAATGGAGTATAAGTAGTGTTTTCTGTGTTCTTGGTGATGCCATGAATACCTTGAAAAAAGAAGTGAAAATATGTTTAAGTCAATTCATTTCTTTAGCACATACATTGGTACCATTCTACCTTTCAGTTGAGCTAAATTCCCAAATGCAAGAGCCAATTTTCTCTCCTGAAATCTCAGTTGAGTTCATGTATAAGTCAAACCCTTCGGTTTCTAATGCCCAAATTAATCACACAATCTGCATATTTTCCCTAAAACTACTTTATTTGATATGGTTGCTACTAGCCATATGTCACTATGTAAACTTAAATTTATATTTAATAAATTAATTTCACATTTATGCAAAAACACTTTTCATGTGCTCAATAGCCACATGTGACTAGTGACTACCAAGAATATTTCCATCATTGTAGAAATTTCTGTTTAAGACCACTGCTCTACAGTATATCTTTCACATCTTCTCAATACTCATAGGTCTCCGTAAATACAGCCATGCTGCAAGCATATTGAGAAAATGAAAGGTCCTTTTTTGGTTCTCCATTGAAATTCATGTTAAACTCCCTGTGCATGTTACTCTCCCTCCATCTGTCTTCCAGTTCCTTCTTTTCGTCACAGGACAATTCTCTCTCATCTTTAGCAAGACTGACTTCTGACTTCCAAATGTCCTTCTTGTTAATAATTTTTCACCTTTTTATCTTGTTCTGGTCATTTTTCTTTTTTCAGATCCTTAAACACTGGAGTTACCCAGTTTTTATCAAGATTGTTATTATAAAATTATAAAATATATATTTATACAAAATATAAAATTTAGGATCCACTTAAAGAGGTTCTTATGAGAATTAAATGAGATAACGCTCTTCAAACACTTACTAGTTACAGAACAAAGTAAATACTGAAAATAAAAACTTGGTCTCTTTTTTAAAAAAAAACCTATTGGGAAATGTAATTGCTCAAAGATATTATAGCTAATAGTGTCAGACAGTCATATTTAGTCCTTCTTTCTACTGATTCCAATGTCCTAAGTAACTAGGCTTTTTGTTTCCATCTAGATGCCCTATATGCAACCTGCATCCAGCATAACCAGACTGAAAACTAACTTCCTTCTATAAGATTTAGAAAATGTTTAGAATCTAAAGTTACTGGCTGAAATCATGACTGCCACATATTCTAGTGGCAGACCTTGCACAAATAACTTATGTACTAGTTTGTTTCCTTCTCTGTTAATGGGAAATAGCACTGAACTACCTTTATCTGAGGGGTATAGGGAAGTTAAGTGTAATTATGTATAAAATCATTTTGTATAATTTCTTAGTGTGCAGAGCTTTGTCATTTATATTTCTCTTCTGTAGAACTGTTACTTTTTTAAAAATTATTTGTTGATTAAATCTACCATGACATTAAATCCTCCTCCTTTCAGTCAAACCTCTGCTTTTCTTTATAGCAAAGCATGTAGAAATGTCTACAATGTCTACAAATGTCTACAACTCTCTCAAGGATAATTGGTTTTGAAACGTATCAGTCTGGATTTTATTCCCATTACAAACCAAAAATTCCTTTTACTGTGACAATCAATGACCTCCATGATGATGGTGCCCTTATCACTTACCTGGCTTCATGCAACTGGACCTCTGAGCAACTTTTTTCTGAATTGACCACTCTCCTGCTTAAAACTCATTTTTCTCTTGTGTACCACCATATTTCCATTTCCCAGCTCCAGCTTCTGCCCTAACTGTAAGTATTGCATTTTGACAGTTCTCAAGCACGATATTTTCAAATTTTATATCCATGTCATTCAGAAAATATATCAATTAAATTTAATGACAACTATTTAAATATTTTCACTGAATGGGCTAAGGAAAAATTCATGAACAAAATAGATGGATCCCTTAGTAGAATAAGTTTGCTACAGGTTGGGGAAGGATAATAAAAGGACATCATGATTAAATTACATATTACACACAGTTTTATTGTTGTGATTTAAAAACCAAGGAACAGGGCAATTATGATAGGCATTTCATGATAGAGAGCAGGAGAAGTTGAAATTTGAAATAAAAAGCTCATTATAGACCTCATTGGAAAATAAATTTGAGAAAAATTGAATGAGGTGAGGAAATACTTAACTTCACTTCCTTAAATGTCAGAAACTAAAATTTCATGCCAGTGGCATATACAGAACAATTATACAGTGAACAAGAATAGGATGAAGGAGTGGAACAGGAGAGAGAATATGGATCCAAAGTTGCCTTACTGAGATGGATAATCCAATTCCACATGAAGAACCATAGAGAAGGAACCAAAGAATTGTCCACTCTAGACACAGAAGAGGGGAACTTTTATCCACTGGCTTCCACACCCCATGGGTCAAGGATGACCCAAGGAGTGTAGATTTCCTTGCATTTTCAGGTCCATACATGCACCAGAATAACTGAATGAGATCCCTGAGGTGCCCATGCAATAAAGCAGAGAAACTCTGGGGTGGGATGCAGCTGAGTAAGGTGCTATCAACCTACACCTACACTCAAATGGTTCCCACAATAATGGCTACAACAATAAGGAGGGATGACAGGACTTGAGAAGACCATAATAGATTTGGAATATAGGAGTCACCCAGGAGAAAGGAACAGTCTAAGAAAATGGAACAGCCAGAGAAAATGCCCTAAGACATAAAAACCCTGGTATTCAAATATCAGGAGGCAGCCAGCACAGGTAGGATGAAGCAAATGAGCAAGAGAATCGGGTCAGAACAGCGGGGCCAGATCACACAGGGTCCCATAGGTCTTTGTGGACTTTGCAAAAGTTCCTCATTTCTCTCAGAATCAAAGACATTGTTTTCAGCAGAGAAGAGATATATTAGACTTACACTTTTAAACTTTTCCCTGGCATCTATGATGGACAATAGCACAAAGAGGAAAGGGTAGAATTGGGGGAAAGTACCAGGAAACTATTGCAGGAATCCAGGGAAGGGAGAACATTGACTCAGAATCAAGGTAGCAGTGTATGTAGTGGGAAGTAATAGGATTGTGGATATATTTTTTAAATGTGTCAATGGTATTTTTGACAGGTTAGATATAGGAAGTGAGACAAGAGGGAGTCGAAGATGACACCCTTATTTTTGGCATAAACAACTGACAGGAGCTGCTCCCAATTGAGATGGGAAAAGCATGAAAGGAGGAGCTCAAGACTTCAATTTTGAACATGGTGAGTTTGAGATATCAGAAATTCAAGTGAATATGGTAATACATATAGAAAATAGATCATATTTAAAGCCATGAAACTGTTTGAGATCACCCAGATAGTAAACGTTCAGAGAAAAGAGAACCAGAGAACCTGGAACTGAATCCCAACATTAAGAATGGATGGGAGAGGAGTTGGGGCACATTGAGACATTCGCAAGGGAAACTGACAGTGGAAACTATTAAGATAGAAACATTCCCAAGTAATGTACTATCTCAGTATATAGACTATAGTTTATTAACAAGGGCATTATTACCATGTAAAATGCTACTGATGAGTCAAAGAATTTGAAAACACAATTGGCCTTGTGTTTAGAATTGCACAAGAGGATTGGATACCTTGATAAAAGCAATTTTGCTAGAATAGAGACAGGCAAAGCCTGACTTGACTGAGTTAGAGTAGATAAGAGGGGAATTGAAGTCTGTTAACATGGCTAACTTTTTTGAGGAATTTGGAAGCAAAGGATGGCAAGTAAATAGGGCACTGGCTAAAATGGAAAGCGAAGTCAACTGTGTGTGTGTGTGTGTGTGCGCACATGTCTGTGTGTGTGTTTGTTTTTTAGAACAGAATTATCATGTCTTTAGCTGAAGAAAATTATCCAATAGTGAGGAAAACTTGAAACTTAGGAGAAGAAAGAGAATACTGCTCCTGAAAAGACCTTGAATAATGCATCTTTCCAGGTGGTCTACTTGTTGACCACTGAGAATGTAAACGTATCCTGAAACAAACACAAATTTACATACCTTACATTCCTTGTAAGCTCCAGACTAGAATATCCAACTCCATACTTGATATCCCCACATATTTGCCTCACAGATATGTCAAACCTGTCATGCCTGAGGCAGAAATCATGACTACTTCTCTTCTTGTGCTACCCATATCTCAGAACATAACATCCTGCCCAACCAGTTGCTCAACCTAGAATCAAGTCATCCTGGATTCTTCCCTTTTCTTCCTGCACCGTATTTAATCATCAGCAAGCACCACTGGATCATCCTACATGGTAAATCTCCACGTTGCCCATTGCATTTCCAACACCCTTCCAACACCATCATCCTTGTTCGGGCCACAGCATCTCTCAGCAACTACTGCTACAAAAGAATCCTAACAGGCATACAAAGTTCCACTTTGTTCTCCAATATTTATCCTTCAACAATTACCCACAATATCATGAAGTGAAGGGACTGGGGTTAGGAAACTCTACCTATTTCCTTCTGTAAACCTAGCCTCTAACATACATAGGTGTGGAGCATTTCACTAAATAAAATATGACTACTAGACTACTGGAAGACATATCTGTCAGACTACTACTCCCCTCATGTGATTTAAGCTGAGTTTGGGTTGTCTTCTCATTTAAAATGCATCCAGGATGGAAGTTCTAAGCATCCCAATTACAATACTCTGTTACCTGCACCAGAATAAAATTATCTTCTTAATGGAAAATACTATTTTAAATATTCATAATGTTTGTGCATTTTTGTCAGGAACAAGCACTTATGACAACAG